ATTAACGACATGAGACATCCTTTCTTCAGAAGCATCCAAATATTAACTGATTTCTGATGAAGGGGCATGTCAGTTAACAGAAAACTTCCACGATAATGGTTTCGTGTATCCTTGGTCATGGCTCCTTCACCACCATCCTCAGTCCTCGGTGATCAGAGCTGATATAAAAGACTCAGAGTGTCCTACATCCTCAGTTGACCAGAATGAACGATATTTTAAGAGACATTAGATGTACCCTAAGAGTTTTGTACCGCTTAAATGTCATTCTTTTTTGTTTTACAAAGATTCAATTTTGTTTGAATCTTTGTAAAAATGGTTGATAATGAGAAATACTGCACAATAGTCTTTATGAAGATAAACATTCAGCGGCCTACAGTGGTGATATCACACCTGGAGTGGGGAGCTTGTTGAATGTGTCTAAAAAAATTATCTCTGCCTTGTCCTCACGACCACAGGTTTCACTCCTTTTACATAGGTTTTTCAATGAGTGGTTGACACAGTCATGCTCTTTCAGACAGTATAAATACGGAAGCAAACAGATTCCCAGAAGATGCACAGTGAGCTGCAGAGTGGCATGATTGACTCTTGTGTGCACAGTATTAAAAGGTGGTCGTAATGTTATGGCTGATTAGTGTAAAACCGACCAAATGGCAGTGACCCAAATGTTCACTACTTCAAGGTACAGCAAGCTAATCATCAGGGGCTTTAAGGACTAATGTCAGCCATCTGACCTTCTGGAGCTGTGTGGTTTAACACATGGACTCGGAGTGATGTTTGACTATGATTTGAAATTTGACAAACAGATCAACTCAAGTCAAGCTTTTTCCAACTAATATTATCGAGTAAAAGGAAATAATTTCTTTCCTTCAATGACTTTGAAATTGCAATTCATGCTTTTGTCAGCTCTAGGCTTGACTATTGCAATTCAGTGTACGCTTGAGTCAGCCACTCGCTGCTCGCATGTCTCCAGATGGTCCAAAATGCTGCTGCTAGTCACGTGACAAGTATATGTAAAGTATATGTCATGTAGCCAATACATGGCTTCTCTTCACTGCCTTCCAATCTGTTTTAAAATTGATTTTAAGTTGTTGATTTTAGTTTTTAAGGTTTTAAATGGTCCTCTGTACCTCAATGATCTGATAGGATGGCACTAGTCAGCAAGATCTTTTAAGTTATCAAATCAGTTTTTACTTGAGGTACCAAGGTCTAGGTACAAATGCAGGGGTGCTCGTGTTTTCATCTTTGTGGCCCCTAAACTTTGGAACAGACTACCTCTTAATGTTAGATCCACTACAGACCTGACTGTTTTAAAATCTTTGCTTAATTTATTTGCCATGGCTCTTAACACTGATATTCTCAGTTGTTTGGTTTTATCTTACTTGTGTTTAATTTTCTTCTATTGCTTTTAATTATTATAAGGATCTAGTTTTATTTATTTTTGTTTTTAAAGTGCTATATAAGTAAATTTAGATTTGATTTTATTTGATGACCTCAGACAAAATGATCTGTAAAGTGATCTGTACTTTATCAAATTCACTGGTATTGGGCTTAGTTTTCCAATCTGTTGAGAAACGTCCCAACTTGCTCAGTCCTCAAATAACCTCTTTCCCAACCTCTTTCCCATGCTACTGGATAATTTTGTGTTTTTCAAGATTCCTGTTATTTGATTTCAGGGAATAAGCCATCATTTATGTAGCCCCGAGATGTATCCGTCCTCACTGAGTTTGACAGGAGTTTATTAATTCTTTCTAAGTATGAAATGTTTAACTGACAGGCTGAGACTGTGTGAGAGTCATGTGAGGTGAGCTGACTTCTTCCTGTCCTGGGAAAATGATTTTACTTTGGCTAACGCACACACCCCCAAAATCATTTAGTCCAGCTGTTAGGAGCTGAGACTAATGAAAAGTTTGAACATGTCAGCGATTTTTGCAGGTAGACCTTACAGACGCTGGGCAGGCTCAAGATAAACATGCTTTATTCATTTGCTTGTCATGCACATGCAAACACACACAGACATATACACCACATCATGCAAAAATCACCATGTCTGCATTGAGAACAACCAATCTCTGACACAGCACGTGTCCACTGTTATTACACTGGAAGACAGTCTAATAGCTCCCCTGTCCTCGAGTGAACTGTGGGGGAAACCAGTCCAGGTAGTTTACACAGAAAAGGAATGTATAAATGATAATAGCACCTTCATTCATTAAATGCTCTGTCAACACTCGTGCCCACTGTGGCGCACACCACCTGATCTTCAAAGTATTTTTTTAAGTAGTATTGTCCTCATCTCACCTCTGCTGGCCGGGAGTCAGATTTGAAAAGGGGTGTGTTCAAAGCCAGAGTTATTTTAGGTTGTGTATAAGAAGCCAAACTCATTAAAACACTTGAGTGTTGAGTGATAACTTGTTATAATGTGCCATTAAGGTTTGCTTATCAGTATATTGCTTGTATTAGCAACAGCCCGAGTCCATTTTTCTGGAATGTGTCTCAGCTTGAGAATGAGTCTATGTATTGCTGTAAATCTACAGTGCATGTGTTGATTAAGATAATCCGGTCAAGTTCATGGTTGTGTAGCAGCCTCCTGTATCACTGATCACAGATACTTTTGAGACAGGAAACAGCTTTTTGTTAATATTACAGTTATATGCAAGATATAAAAAGTGGAACCGTGGCACTGTATCTTTGCACTTAAATAACTGGACTTATTGCGTACTGGTTTTAGGTAGCCCAGTTTAGCCTTGTTACTACCAGTTTTACAAAGTGTAAAAGTTTTGAACTGAAAGTTGTCAACACTACAGTGTGAAAGGAGCAATAACATTATGTTCTTAAAAACTCCATGTACAGCTGTAATTCACCTGAGTTTTGTCACCAAACTGTCAAACATTAGGCATCAAACTGAGGAGCAAAACAATCAATTTCTGGTTGTTTCAGCAGAATTCTATATTACCATGTCAAACAAGCAAAAAATGGAAATAATGGAGCATAATTTGCCTGTTTTATTTCTTTATGATTTGTCAGCTGTATTATGAATGTGAAAGGGACAAGTTATAAAACAACATGCATTTTAAAAAAATCCTCATGAATAAATCTTTTACGTTGCACATATTCATGCGATTCCTGTGGGATACAATATGTTATACATATCACTAAATGTTTATTATTATTATTATTATTTTAAGAGCTTATTCTGTAGGGTAATATGGGCACAGTTGCAACAAGGGGCTGTTTTTCCTGTAGTCAGAAATGTGCTAGAGCCATGCAACTCATTTTGCACATGTCTAGTTAGCCCCTCACCCATAGCAGGAAAACAGCTGCTAAGTGTGAGCTCTCCTTTTGGACTTAACCCAAGAAAGATGTTTTAGGGGTATGAAAGTAATTTCTTTCATGATCATATTTCTTGTTATACTGTCCTGACAGTTTGCATTAAAAACAGATTTTATATTTTTTTAATCCT